ATGAAGAATGGATTGGGAAATAGCTATGTCTAGGGAGTTAGGTCTTTAGCTCTGTGGGTTTTTTTTTTTTTTTTTTTTAATATTTCTTGTGTTTTACCTGCATGTCGGTAAGTGCACGGTGTGCATGCTGGTGCCAGTGAAAGCCAGAAGAGGGCACCAGATGTCTGGAACTGGAGTTAACCGTTGTAAGCCCCAAGTGGATGCTGGGAACCAAGTCTACATACTCTTAACCACTGACACATCATTTCTCCAGCCCCGCTAGGTGGCATTTTGATCAAGAATTGGGGTTGTCAGGAAAAGCAATCCTTCAGAATGGGATCAAATTTAAGAATGGGTGGCACACCAGTGACTGGAACAAGACTGTAGTAGTAAGTGCAGAATGGTAGAATATGCCCCTCGGCACCATGGAGCCAGTACGTGTTAAGGAATTTGAACTTTATATGGACAGGAAATGTGAATCTATGGAACTTGAGGACAGAAACAACTTCAATATTGGCCAATTATTGGCTGTATATTAAATACTGCAATGGCTACATCTGAATTTCAGAACAAAACCGATGAGAAAACAGACTAGGGGATAAGTGTTCATATGGATAAGGTGAGGGCTACCAGTCCTTTCTCCTCATTTTCTTCTCTACCCAGTACCTTCCCTCGCTCTCTCTCAAAGACAAATGAACATTTCACAGGCCACATGTGGCTCAATCAGCAGGCACAACCCGTCTGCTCAGACAGGCTGAAGGGCTCTATCCTCTTGTCCTGCTTTCCTTTGGCTCTGGAACCAAGAGTCTCATCATTTTAGCTGGCTATGGTGGAGCCTTTAATCCCAGGACTGGAGAAGAAGAGGCAAGTTCAAAGTCAGCCTGGTCTACACATAGAGTTCCCAGGACAGCGAGAGTTCTACAGTGAGAAAGAGTCTTAAAAGAAAAAAAAGAGAAAAAAGGGGGAAAAAAGTCTTTCAGTTGTTTGGCAGGCTTTGTGCAAGGCTGGTATATCTATATTCCTTTTGCTTGTTTTTTGGTTATTTGAGACAGGTTTCTCTGTCTACCCCTGGCTATTCTGGAACTCACTCTGTAGACCAGAGATTGGCCTTGAATTCAGAGATCTGTATCCCTCTGCAGCCCAAGTGCTGGGGCTAAAAGTGTGCACCACCATGGCCCAGCTTTTATTTATTTTATTCTTCTTTGTTTTCTGGTAGATTCCAAGTGTGAAAGGGGCCAATGAATTGGGCAAATCCAGGCAAACATTTCACTGATGTTTCAAATGTACGAAAGCAGCAGCAGAGGTCACTGGCAAACAAGAGATAAACAGGTTGGAAGACGAGACCAGGAGCTGTTCTTTATCCTGTCCTCCAACGTGTTTGTTGAAGCAGAACCAGCCACAAATTCTCTTGAAGCTATTTCAGACAGTCCATTTTTAATATTTTCTTAAAAAAATACAAAGGAAATTAACTCTGTAGGTCAACACAATTAGGGGAAGGAGGGGAAAGTGGAATTCCAGAGCAAAGGGAAAATGTAGCCCAATTTAGGCTATCACCTTCCCATACTTGCTATAGCAGTAATGTAAGAATTTCACCCTATGACAGACACAGGGAGCCTTGAGCGGTAGCTCAGAAATGCTTATAGAGGTATGGGAACTAACAGGTCTTCCGCTGCCCTTGATTATTTTGTTCCAGGATGAACAGAACACACTCTGAAGACAGGTAAAGAGAACGTAGCAGGAGGAGAACTGAATGTACCATACACAGAGAAGTGTGCCCTTAGAACAACAGGGCAATAATCAGGTACCCCCACCCCCTCCCCAAATAAATAGCATGGGAGGGCAGTAATGCAGTAGCACGTGAGTCACCAGAAGTTGGTCTTTCACCCATTCAAAAACAAACACTGCCACGGTGGCATAAGCCTGGTGGGGACTAAGACGATTGTAAAGTCACAGGTACTTCTGTTTACCACAGGTTGATTGAACGCTGCACATTTACACCCATCCCTTATTCTAACTTTTCCTTCCACTGTTATCTCTTAGTCTCCAGTGACAACATGGTACAATATTCTACATTAGAAAGACCATGGGGATTCAATCCGAGGTGCGTGCATTAAGAGATGGCAGAGTCCAGGAAACACTTCCCAGGCCTGTGTCCTGGGACCTGCAGCTGCCCCAGACAAAGAGAGACCAGCTGGCCTTCAGAGAGATCAGCAAGTGATGACATCCAAGAAGGGAAGAAAGTTCTGAAACTCAAAACCAAAATGGCCGATGAAAATCTTGACAACACAGTTGAAAAGAACTGCATTCCATTAAAATCTCATGAGGTCACCAGTGAGACATACACAACTTGAAGGATAGTATTCAAGGCGTCCAAGCCCAGACTATGATATCAGACTAGGTATATCACCTTAAAGACAATAAAAAGGTGCAAGCAACTGCAGAGAAGCCCGAATGGGATGCTAACATGCCTCAAAAACGAGTACTTGGCTACTGTCACAGTCAGATGGTTCAGTCTAAGATTAATTTATTTAGAAAGCTCACGAATGTCAAAGGAGAGAGTCCTGCAACAACCAAAAAACTTCCCGCTACCGTGTCAAAAGCCTCAAAGGCTCGGTCTGTGCCTGGAAACGCCATCAGTATAAGAGCCTCAAGTGTGACTGCTGCTGCCACGTTTGTAAACACTCAATCTGTGAGCACTATGTCAAGGAACACCCTTGTGCGACCACTGTTAGAAGCCTCCACAGTAAAACCCAGGGCGCTGGGAAACAGGGCCCTGGCAGGACCCTTGCCAATGTTACAGTCAGAAAAGGGCCCCTTAAAAAAGACTCACTGCGATCAGAATGGGTTCTCCCTGTTGTCGATACCGTCCTCAGGACACAAAGAGAGATAAGGCACCGTCAAGAAGCATAGCATCTGAAGGTGTAGCCAGGACTAATTTGTCTAATACCAGACTGATAGAAAAGTCGAAAGCTATTGACCAGCGCAGGCACTCAGCAGCAGGAGCAGCTGTCCATAGAAAAATCACAGAAGAAAGAAAAGCTCGGATGACTGAGTGGAGAACTGGCAAAGGGAAAGGGCTAAAAAGGCCTCCTAACTTAATAGCTAATCAGTCTGAGCCACAAGGACAAAACAAAAACCCAGTCGAGTCCTTTTGAACTACCATGGCAGAAGAAGATGAACAGGATTATTTACTGAAAAAGTAAACAAAACAATTTCTCAATGCCTAAACCTGATTAATAAGAAGGGATGGCCAAAAGAAGAAATTTTAGACACAGTGAATGACCTGATTCGTAATATTCCAGATACCAAAAAACTTGTTAAGTATTGGATTTGTCTTGTACGTATGGAGCCAATCACAAGTCCTATTGAGTCCTATGAGAAAGCCATTCTGGCAGGGGCTCAGCCTATTGAAGAGATGCACCAAACAATCATAGATATTCTAACAATGAAGAGTCAAGAAAAAGTTAATTTGGGAGAAAATACTGAGGAGGCTCATGAAACCAAGGGGCATAGCCAGGAAGTAAAAATCGAAGACACGAGTGTCACTCTAGAGCTGGGAGATCCAGGGCGGAAAATGAGTGTCAGAGGAATGTCCAAGTTTGTGAAAACAGCCAAGACCAGAAACAAAGGATCCAACCAACCATTTTATAACCCCTGATTCAAAAACTGCAGCAGGCTGCCTAATTAGATATAATGTATCTTCTACACCATGCTTGCAAAGATTGAAGAAGATGCAACATGGCAAAAAGTCCACATTTAAAGAGCTACTAAAGTTTTTTACACCTGTGAGGCTTTCAAGAGAAGACTTCTCAATTGCCTGACATGTTAAAAGTCCACGCTGTCTGAGTTGGGGGAGGATGCTTTCATTTGCTGTCCTAAAGCAGCTCTGTGCCTTCTGTTCTGAGACTGACCTAGCGGGACAGAAACAGTGCTCCTGAGCAAGGGGGGTTGTATGATTCCTGTGGTGGTTTCTCATATGCAGGTCTGAAGCTGTCCATATGCCTAATATGTTAGCTTCTTCACTTTACTAATTACTTACAGCAATGAAGCGTAATCAGAAAATGTAGTTTATATAAATTTATATTTTACATTGACTTTTTACTTCTGTTTATAATAAATATCTGTATAATGTTCTAATGACATTTTATTTATTGATTGACTTAGTTAATGCTGGAACTGACTTTAGGACCCTACTATGGGGCTACAGTCTGCTGCAATATGCATTTATTTCAGCAACTACATTATGTGGATTCAGAGTGTGGTCCCAATAGAGCACTGCCCTAACATGTGCAAGGCTGTGGATCCAGTCCTTAGCACTGCAGGAACAAATACTGTGACCACAGTAACCAGATTTAAACCTTGTCTCTGAAATACACTCCTAAATTTTTAAAATAATAATAAAAAAGAAAGACCATGGGGTCAAATAGTATTACTCTCCAGCCTTCCAGTTTACACTTCAGTGATCTGGATTCACTCACATTCCATTCAGTTCATGCCACTTAATCCAAATCTTGACACCAACCACGTCCCGAGGTGAGAGTAGCATGACTCTCCTCTTGCCCTCTCAAATTTTAACACTGATCTCTTGGTTTCCTCCAGAAAGGAACTGTGGTGGCTGGAGCTACTTTTGTATTTAGAAAAGATACATTTGTTTCTGGTGGGGGGGAATTACTTTCATTTTTACCAAGTTTATGTAAGCTGATATCCTTCCAGTCACCTAGGATGGACACTGCCTACACTTAGCAGGCCATACTCACCTTAATTCTCTGCAATATATGAAGCACAACATACACACATACATACATACATACATACATACATACATACATACATACATACATACATTCTCCCAAGCACACTGTAAGTTAGAAACTGTAAGAAAGTGCTCCTCAGACCAGAGAGAGAGATGATCTGGTTTCTCACATCCACACATGTGAGAAACTCTTCCCTTGAGTACCTGTCACCCACCCTTCTGAGCAGCATGACCTGTGCGGAGAGTGCGTATCAAGTAAGTACAATCATCACAGCACTGGTGCCTGTAGTCAGCCTGTGCACACAGCGAGAAATAAACATTCTGGAAAGGATCCTTGATTCTCCCACAATCTGTTCCGTGGAGTAGTCATTAGCTCCAGCTGGTGCTCAAATAAGTTACTTTTCTCGGAGAACACACACGCCAGCATCACAACGTTGGGTTCCCATGGAGGCCACTACTTCCCAGCTGTCGATGATTGGGTCATAACACTCAATGCTACTCAGCAGAGAATTTCCATCATATCTAAGAGGGAGAAAAAGCAAAAGAAATGAGGTTGTCATTCCTTGACACACAAGTCCTACATTTAAAGTATCCCCTGGAGCTGGTCGGACAGCTTAGCATGGGGCACTTGCCCACCACATGCAAGGTTCTGTCCCCAGTACCTGGGTGGGAGCGAAACAGTCCCGCAGTTCTTCCCCCACCACAGGCATTACGCCTCTTTCCAAAATGGTGATTGCATCAAACGGATTCAAAATCCTCACCCTGCAATTGCATAAAGTCTTCCCCGAAGCACTGTGGCTCCTACATAGCATCGTGGAGTGGTCATACTTGTGACAGTTGTCCAGGAATCAGTGCGAATGTTGTAGGCTTCAACAGAAGAAAGGTGGGCTGTACCATCAAACCCCCCCACCACATAAATATGGTCATTCAGCAGGGCTACTCCAGCACCTGGAGAAAGAGAGAGGAGTGGCAAATGAATGGTACTAAGCCTGTCATGTGAACCCAGTAAGAAAGCATGGTCACTAAGGCTCAATTGTGGAGAAGGTGAGGGACGCAGATGTAAGTAAAACAGGCCTAGAAAAGTGCAATACAAAAATGTTATTCCATGCATTGATAAACCCCTTGGCTAGGACCTGAAATTATAACTGAGGGACTGGCATGGTTCTCTTCTTCGCGTTCATTAACTCAGTCCATCTCTCTTCAGTCGGAGGAAAGGTGTTAGTAATGGTGGAAGCACCATGGCCATGGTGCTGCTGTGATTTCTGTCCAGAGGCAGTTAACTGGAACAGCAGTGCTGCTGTTACACCACAGCCCACTCCACATCACGAGTTCTCAGCTGCTGCTGGAATGAACCTCTATGGTAGCATACTTGCTTAGTACATGCAAGGCTCTGTGTGCAATACTCAGAATTTTAAAAACAAAAAAGATTTTATCCTTGGGTATTAGAGAGTTTAAGTAATTTACTGTCATTTATTTATCAGGCGTATGGCACGCATCTGCAATCCCAGTACTCGGGAGGCTGAAGTCGGTGTGATACAAACTACATACAGCGAGATCTTAGATTAAAAAAAAAAATCATGGTGTAACTGGAAGCCAGAGCAGGAGGACAACCTTACAGCAAACTATGCACCAACCAAGACTACACAGTAAGGCCCTCAAAACAAAGTCCAGGAAGGATGCCAGGTGGTGGCAGTGCACGCCTTTAATCCCAGCACTTGGGAGGCAGAGACAGGAGGATCTCTGTGAGTTCGAGATCAACCTGGTCTACAGAATGAGTTCCAGGACAGGCTCCAAACCTACAGAGTAATCCTGTCTTGAAAAAAACAAAAAGTCCAGGAAGAAGTAGGGGATGACACCTTTAAGCCTAGCACTCAGGGAGGCAGGTGGATCCCTTGAGTTCGAGGCCAGCCTAGTCTACAAAAGTGAGTTTCAGGACAGCCAGGGCTACATAGAGAAACCCTGTCTCAGGGAAAAAACTAAAAAATAAGTCCAAAGAGTTTTAAAAATCAAAGATACAAAACTCAACACAATGAAAGCATTGATTTAAACATGTACTTCACAAAGTTATGCAAGCTAGACAAGAATGCAAGAATAGAAAAAGGCACTAAAGAACAAGTAAGAAATCTCTGTCTTCAAATTTATAATCTAATTCAAAGTTTAAACTGTCTTTACCTAGCATTTATAGAAAGCAGAGGTGAGAGAGGCCAGACTGTGCCTGTTCACAGTGAGTCTATGGCAAGCGAGAAGTACAGCTTCTCTGACCCCACAGCCTGTAACTACACCAACACCCCACACCTCGGGACTGTCAGCACCTTCATCCCATTGCAGATTTGGTCTTACCAGAACGTTTGGTGGCCATGGGTGTAACATTAGTCCAGTGTCCTGTATGGGGATCATATTTCTCAACTGAATTTAATATATTCAAGCCATCATATCCTCCTGAAAGACAAAGCAAAGAATATTTCAGGAAGAAAGGCTCATTTTTGTTGGTCTTTGGTGAGTAATTCAACTGACTCAGTTTTAGTTCTTCCAGAGTTCCAGCTCAAATATGTAACACCCTACATTTTGCTTACAAGAAAAATATAATCCTATTCATGGACAATGTATCTGGATAGTTCAGAGCTCTTGCTGAAGCAAGTATATGCACTTAATTCTGGTAAAAGTGATGCCTTCCAGAGCCTGCTAAACACTGACCTCTCTACATCCCACATCCCAGACTCATACCTAAACAGTAGATTATTCCGCTGGCCACCACTAGTCCTGCACCCTCTCGAGCTGTCTGCATATCTCCCAGCATGCTCCACTGATCAATGTTTGGGTCATACCGCTCCATACTTGTATGACGCCTGCTTCCATCAAAGCCTCCAGAGACGTAAATCATGTCTGCTCAGAATAAACAAATTAGACTATTAAGAATGAGAAATTAAAAAAAAAAAGAATACAAAATTACCCATTGTTAAGATGGAGGGTCACACACGTGAATGTAATTACAGCGCCTGGGAGGTTCTGGCAGGAGTTCAGGAGTGTAACCCATTCTTCCCCTGGCCCCAACATAGGATTTTCTCATTGATTATTTGGGAATTTCATTTACCACTGAATATATGGGCAACACAAACTCTACCTGGTGTATTTTTTTTTCTTAAAATTTTCTTGGGGAGGGCACAAGTATAGATCTGGGAGGAATGTGAACTGAGTATGATCAGGGTGCATACTCTTTCTTTCCCTTAAAGAAAACTGAGTCCTTTCCCATCACTCTGATAGAAGTCATCAACTGTGAAGAGCTACATTTCAGCATTTTATTACAAATTTTTCAAAAATTTATTTATTTATTCATTTTCCAAGACAGGGTTTCTATGTGTAATCCTGGATGTCCTGGAACTCACTCTGTAGACGAGGATGGTCTCAAACCCACCTGCCCCTGCTTCCCAACTACTGGGTTAAAGATGTACGCCACCACTGCCCAGCTAGATCTATTTTTATTTTATGTGTATTTATGTTTTACCTGTATGTATGTTTGTGTGAGGGTGTTGGATCCTGGAGTTACAGAGATAGTTGTCAGCTGCCATGTGGGTGCTAGGAATTGAAACAGAGTCCTCTACAGGAGTAATGATCTTAACCACTGAGCCATCCCTCCAGCCCCATTAGCCCAGATTTTAAGAACCCTTTTCAATGGCTTCCCGTTTAGACTGTTTCTTTTCTTTGGGGTAGGGATGGAGGGTAAGGCCATTTTTGACTAGAGACTAAGTTCAAGGCTAGCCTGAGCTATATGAGATCTTATCCCAAGCAAATAAATTTCTTAGTATTTCTTCAAGTTGATTTTTATTATTTCTTAAATTTCCCAATTTATGTGACCCTACATAAGGACATTGTAAAAGTATATTTTTACATTATCGTAAAAGTATATTTGTACTCTGAGCATTTTCCCTTTATGTGGTAAGTTATTTAAGTCTCAGAAGCAAGAAAGACCGAACAAAGACTTTAAAGTCTGGCATGGTGGCTTATTCATAAACCCAGGAGGCTTAGGTAGAACACTACAGGTTCAAGACCAGGTGTGCTACATAGTGGTATTTAAGGAAACACATCTCAATTAAAAAATTATATATATAAACCAGTGTAAGCCAGGAGGCCAAGGTGTGGTAGTACAGAGTCCTGAAAACCCAGCACTAAGTAAGGCTGAGGCAGAGGTGGGTGTATTATGAGTTTAAGGTGAATCTGAGCTTTAATAAATAGTGAAATTGTTTCAAGAGAAAAAAGAAAAACAAAAACAACCAAAAAAGAACAGTGTATGATGACATACTTAAATACTGAAAAGCATTTGAAGACTTCACGAATGGAGTTTATGAAAATATAACCAATAACTATACAGCACACTGGAACTTGAACACTCAATTTTGTAGCCAGCGTTGAAATGCCAACAAAAGAGTGGTTTCAGTTAACAATAACATATCAAAAGGTAAGAATGAGCATTTGAATGTAGACATTTATCGGATGTCATGCTCCCACCAGACAGTAGAAGGGGTAAGAGCAATAGTGCAGCTAAAAGAAGATGGAAACACCACCTGCCACCAAGCCTACCTCCCAGTGTGGTAGCTCCAGCAAGGCCTCGTCGCACATTCATAGGGGCCACAGAGTACCAGACTCCATCTTCATCTGCTGTGTAGTCTAGACATTCCACTGAGCTGAGGCGGGAACGGCCATCATACCCACCGATTACATAGATCCGATCATGCAAGGACACTGAGGCCACATACCGTCTTTTCCGAGTGATGCTCTATGGGTTTGGGAGAGAAGAGAAACAACAGCATTGCCGCTGGGCAAGTCCCAGCCCTGCCTTTTCTTTCAATACCCTGCCTCTTTCTATCTTCTTTGCTTCCTCTTTGCCAATAGAAACCTCCTTGTGGCTAAGGGTCATCCCAAAGGGGCTACAAGGTGACTGCCCACAGAGTGAAATCCTTCGACCACATTCCAATGTTTACAAAAGAGTTCATGGCACTGGGCCAAGAGATCAAATGTCCTTCCCTAAGAAAAGTACTGGCATACTGCTAATCCAAGAACCAGGACTGAAATACCCTAAAGGGTAAGAGTGGCCAAAGATTTTCCACGTCTGCTCAGAGATGGTTCTTGTTGATGCGTACTGAAATCTGAAGGGAGACACAAACTTAGGATTTCAGTTAGACAGAACAACTCTGAGTTCAGTCTAGCACAAGTTGCTCAGTCTAAACTAAGCTGGGTGTGGTGGTGGTATACAGACCTACAACGCCTGCCTTTAATCAGCAAGAAGCAGGATTGCCACAAGTTCAAGGTCAGCCTGAGATACACTCTGAGTATCAGGCCCAGCCAGAGAGTACAGCAAGACCCTATCTAAAAAAACCATCTAGAGGTAGTGGCTCACAGTGCAGAGCTGGCTCTAAGGAGGGTAAGGGAGGAAGAAAGTCTACAAGCCTGAGGCCAGCCAGGGCTACACAGAGACTCTGTCTCAAAAAACAAAGCAGAAAGATGGTTTGGTGAGTAAAGGTATTTACTGCCAAGGCTGACGACCCAAGTTTGACCCCTGAAAGATTTCTGACTTCCACACACATGCTATAGCACAGGCATGCTCACACATGTGGACATACATTAAACAAAAGAAGAGCTGGGCGGTGGTGGCGCACACCTTTAATCTCAGCACTCAGGAGGCAGAGGCAGGTGGATCTCTGTGAGTTCGAGGCCAGCCTGGTGTACACAGCGAGTTCCAGACAGGCTCCAATGCTACAGAGAAACTGTGTCTCAAAAAACCAAAACCAAAACCAAAAAAAAAAAAAAGAAGAAAGAAACACAGGAAGAAATAGGAAAAATCCAAGAAACAACCACTCCCACCCAAAGAAAAGAAATTTTCTACTCTCAAAGCTGATCATTTATGATCTAGTGTCAGCAACCAATGACGCTTAAACTCTGCCAAATACAGTTCCACCATGACTTACTGGCAAAAAGCTCCACTCCTGTGTCTTGGGGTCATATTTCTCTACCACATCAATGGGAGACTGCTGGCTTCCGAAGCCCCCAACCACCAGAAGCACCTCATTGGCTCCTAAGGACAAAGGCAGGAAAAGGCAGGTTACTTCATCTTGCCTAAGGAAATACAGGGAAATACAAGTACAAAGGTTCAAATAGGTTAAGGACGTCTTTTTTGGTGGCACTAGGTATTGTACCTAGGGCTTCCATGTTCTATCACTAGGTAACCATTCCGATCCCACAATCTTTTATGTTAAGGTCTGAAGAGATGGCTCAGCTTCTCTTCCAGAGATCCTGAGTTCAACCACATGGTGGCTCACAACCATCTGTAGTGAGAACTGGTGCCCCCTTCTGGCCTGCAGGCATACATGCAGGCAGACAGTCTCACTGAGCTGCTCACTCTGTGCACAGCCAGGAGGGTCTCAGTGTCCCATATAGCTAGCTGACAAGCCTGTGTCACCAGGCCCAGGCAGGAAGCCTTAGTATTTGTAGGGCTGTGTGATAGGAAGCTATCTATTTTTATTTTGTGTATCGATGTATTTGAGGGTGAGGGTATGTATGTGAGTGTGGGGGGGGGGGCATGTGCGTGCCATGGGTCCATACTGCTCTCTGACGCCTGGAGCTGTGCAGTCAGGCTGGGCAGGCTCCCCAGCCTGCTCGGGGCCTCCTCTGCTCCACTGCAGCACTTGACTCACGGGTTCTCAGGCTCGTGCCGCACTTTACCAACTGCGCCATCTCCCCACCTCAGGAGGTACTTCTTTTCGTTTGCTTGTTTTTCAAGACAGGGCTTCTCTGTAGCTTTGAGTCTGTCCTGGAATTCACTCTGTAGACCAGGCTGACTACCTCTGCCTCCTGAGTGCTGGGATTAAAGGTGTGCGCCACCACCGCCTGGCAGAAAGTTACTTCTTTCTGAGGCTGTAACTCCAAAGCTGTCCACAAGTGCCCCTCCATCCAACACACAAAATGTTAAGAACAAAGGAAGAAAGCTCTTTTATTTTCTTACGGAAAGTAACATTCTGTACATCAAACTTTCCTTCTCCTACAGTCTTATTTCTGGCCATGGCTCTCTTCAAAGGGCAGTCTTAGCAGAGTTCTCCCGGGCATCTACTCTGTAAATTCATGAAAACCATTTGGTGCACTGGACAATCCAGGAACTAACTAATGGGCTTATAAACATCGTGTCTGGCAGATGGTGGTACTGCATACCTTTAATCCCAGATAAAGTACTCATATACAACATACATCACTTTATTATTATGAGCTACAGACTCCAGACAGTATTTTTAAAACAACGAAGGTAACCACATATTTACTGGAATAATGCTGAGGTGTGCAAATTAAACACGAACTGCTAACTAGCCTGCATTCCACCTGTGGTAACCCTGCTGAAGGCTGAGTGTCGTGGGTCTTTGCTTCTACAAATGAGCTTCTTAAGTGCTGAGGATCAAACCCAAGGCCTGCCATTTGCAATAAGCACTCCATCATGAGCTATATGCCTAGCAATGTCCCGTTTTTATTTATTTATTTTTAATTTTTTTCTTTTTATTTATTTATTATGTATACAATATTCTGTCTGTGTGTATGACTGCAGGCCAGAAGAGGGCACCAGACCCCATTACAGATGGTTGTGAGCCACCATGTGGTTGCTGGGAATTGAACTCAGGACCTTTGGAAGAGCAGGCACTGCTCTTAACCTCTGAGCCATCTCTCCAGCCCTGTATATCTTTTTTTTAAACAATAATTTATCATAAACATACTCATCCTTACATAATAGATACACTGGTAATTATCTCCCTCCCCCCATTCCAACAAGAATTCTTAGAATAAAGGCAATATATGGCTGGTATAATTTTTCCCTTGGCTTAGTAATATGAATATATGTAATACTTTTTACATTTATTTATTTATTGTTTGTTTGTTTGTTTGCTTTTCGAGACAGGGTTTCTCTGTAGCTTTTGAGCCTGTTCTGGAACTGACTTTATAGACCAGGCTGGCCTCAAGCTCACAGAGATCTGCCTGCCTCTGCCTCCCAAGTGCTGGAATTAAAGGCGTGCGCCGCCACCATCCTGCTATGTAGTACTATTTTTATGATTAGAAAAGCTAGCATATATTATAATTAGAAAAAGAAAATGGGTGTGGTGACTCATGCCTGTAATCCTGGGATGTACAAGCTGAGTTGGGACTGCTTGAGTTCAGGGTCAGCAGGTCGACACAGTGAGCTCTAGGCCAGACAGGACTACAAGTAGTATGAGAACCCATCTAAAATCAACGGAACAAAACAAACCCTCCAAACCAAAAAAGAAGCCGGGGGATGGTGGCGCACGCCTTTAATCCCAGCACTCGGGAGGCAGAGACAGGCGAGTTCGAGACCAGCCTGGTCTACAGAGCTAGTTCCAGGACAGGCTCCAAAGCCACAGAGAAACCCTGTCTCGAAAAACCAAAACCAAAACCAAAAACAAACCAAAAAAGAAACAGAAGCTAGACCAATGTTTTCCTATAACTTATTGTTACACTTTTATTTATCCTTTAATATATATTTTTGTATATAGTTTATGATATACAGAACACATTGTTATCCTGCAGGAATTAGTACCTTTCTTAACCATTTTTGGTAGGTTTTTTGTTCAGTGCTCTTCTTAATCTCTGAACCATCTCTCCAGCCAAGTATTTTTTTTTAATTTATGTATTTTTAATGATTTATTTATTTTTATTTTATATGCACTGGTGTTTGCTTACCTCCATGTCTGTGTGAGGGTGTCATATCTTGTAACTGGAGTAAACATGAGCAGTGAACCCAGGCCTTCTGGAAAAGCAGCCAGTACTCTTAACCAGAGTCATCTCTCCAGCCCCATGTGTTTTTATTTATGTATGTGCGTGTGTTCCTGCATAGGTTTATGTGTAGTACAAGTGTGAGAAGAGGGTCTCAGAACCCCTGAACTGGAGTTATCAGTGGTAGTGAGCCACCTTATGTGGGTCTTTTGAAAGAGCAGTAAGTGCTCTTAACCCTAAGCAATGTCTCAAGCTCCAGTTCTTTTTCTCCCTCACTCCTCTCTTTAAATATGCATCTTTAGAGGCTGAAGAGATGGCTCAGAAGTTAAGAGCACTGTGCTCTTCCAGAGGTCCTGAGCTCAATTCCCAGCACCCACATGGTGGCTCACAACAGTCTGTCTGTAACTCTAGTTCCAAGGGATCTCATGTCATCTTCTGGCCTCTGTGGGTACTGGACACATATGGTACACATACATGCATACAGGAAAACACTCACTCTCTCTCTCACACACATACACACACACACACACACACACACACACACACACATATA